TTAGCAAAACTTTTAAATCTTCTAAATACTCAAAACTTTTTAAAATTAATTACAAAAAGAAAATATCTGTACAAAATTCCTTAATAGCTACAATAAACATTAACTCTTGCTTAGGTCAAATAATGCACCTTGAGGATCTCTACATTCGCCCACAGTTTCGTCGAAAAGGAATTGGATTTTTATTGTTAGAAGAATTAGCTAAAATAGCTTATACCGAAAACCTTCATTTTATTGAATGGCAAGTATTACGTTCTAATTACGGGGCTATTAAATTTTATAAAAAACTTTCTGGATTAATTGACGAGACTGACGATAAAGAAGAAAATAAATGTAATTTATGGCGTTTATCTGCTCAATCATTCGATTATGTTTTACAAAAAGAAGCAAAACAAAAGGAAAGTGACGAAAAATTGATAAAAGAAATTTATTTGGATAATGGGGAAATCTCTGAAAGTAATTCTCTTTACCTTGCTGAACAATGGAATAATTTGATTAAATTACAAAAGAATGGGAATGAAGAGGAGAACAATGAATTCCTCCTCAATAACCAGTCATTAGCAAAACTTTTAAATTCTGGCCTTCTAGGAGTTATTGTTGTAAAGAAGAAGGAAAATAATAAAATTGTGGGAATGGCATTCTTTAATAGAAAAGGTTATTCGACATGGCAAGGACGATTCCTTATTTTGGATAATATTTTTGTTGTGGATTCTGAAAAACAAAAGGGAATTGGGACTTCAATAATGGCTGAATTGGTTAATATTGCACAAAAAATGGAAGCAAATAAAATTCAATGGGAAACAAATGAGGAAAATAAAATAGTTAATTCTTTTTTTAAATCATTAAATGCTGAAAATTTAACTGAAAATGAAGGCTGGTTGATATATCGTTGGTATTTTAATAAACAAAAATAGAAAAATATTTGAAGAAAAAATTGTTATTTTGGGGGAAAAAAGAAGAAGATAAGAATATTTCTAATAGAAAATTAATTAAAAATAAAATTTATTAATGAACACTTTTATTTAAAAATATCATTTTATTTTTTACTTTTTTTAAATTTAATTCAACTTATTCACATTTCTTTAAATTAATATCTTTTAAATTAATGGGAATTCAATAAAGTTGTGTAAATGTAAATTATGCTTAGTTAAGCAATTATGCGTGTAAACATGACACCTACTGACACAATTTGGTAATTTGATTGTGATTATAGATCGAACAAATAGAGTATTTCGAATTCAAATTTGACCGAGTTTTTTGTGTATTAAAAGTATTCGCGCTTCATCGACTTTAATACATTTTCCGACCTCTAAATGTGACAATGTTGAAGAAGTTTTTACTTTCAACCCAACTTTGCTTTTAATTATATATTTAAATATTTTAAAAACAAAATACATAAAAGTAAAAATAAAATAAATATTCTCTCATTAAATTATTGAATTTCAACACGGATTTTTAGTAATCACACCAGGACAACGGTCATAACAAAACATAACCGTACATAAACGTTTTGCACGTAAACGAACATTTGGATCTCTAAATAAATAAAAAAAAAGAATAAATATTTAATTATTTTAAACTTACAAAACTTCAACTTCAGCCAATTCAGCAGTCAGAAAAGCTTCATAAAATAAAAATAATTGAATTAAAACAAAAAATTGGAAAATAATAAATTTATTCATTTTTTTTTATTTTAAAAAATATTTTTGGAAACAATTTTGTTAAAGAAAAATAAATATATCTTTAAATACTCCAAAAATTAATTCACTAAAATATTCTTTCCTTACTAATAGTTTATTTAATTATATTTTATTCATTAATTTCCTCCAAAGTACTACATAATTGTTTAAATTCGAAGAAATTCTTCAAATATTTTTAATTAATTAATTAATTTGTAATTAATTATCCAAATAATTACTAATATTTTTAATTAAAAAAATAACATTTTTGTTTCTATTTAAATGAACAAACTTTAAATTAAATTTAAAATAAAACTTTAAAATAATGCTTCCCAACTCTTTTAGTATTTTAATTATTTTAATGTTTTTATTATTTAAAAACATATTTTCAATTCCAGGTAATTTTAAAATAAATAAATAAATTTATTTTTAAATTAAAGTTTATATCGAAACACCTAATGAGGATTTGCATAGATTTGTCCGGACAGTAATTTGTTGCTATGGATGTTGCGATAAAGATCCGTGGCCTGGAAAATAATTGAAAGGGAATTTTGGATTGAAAAGAATTAATTTTAGAAATTAATTTTAATTAAAAATAAATTAAATTATTAATTTCATAATTAACGAGAATAAATAAAAAGTGCTTTTTTGGTTACTGTATAGAAGCAGAAATGACGTAAAAAAGCTTATTGTAGCACTTTTAAATATTTTTGTTTTACGTAATTTACAAAAATAAATTGTCTAAATTTTGTTTTTATCTTTACTTGTTTAATCTTTAATTAATTTTATATCTTTTTTATTAGTGATTACAGTAATTAATTGAAATGTCTGTTAAATGGGGAGGGGAGAGGGATATTTAAATGGAAGAAATAATTAAATAAATAAATTAAATAATTCCTAAATTTAATTAATTATTAATTTAAATCAAAATTTCTTTTGAATTAAATTCCTTTTAAATTACCTAAATTAATTAAATTTTTTAAACAAAAAATGTATTTGATTAAATTAATTTTTATTTTTGTTTTGTTTATCGTTTTTGTTGATTGTGGAATATTTCCAGCTTTACAAACAATAAATTATTTAGGTATTTTTATCAAATTCCCTTCCAAAAAATTTATTTTTATTTATTTTTAGGACCCCCATTAAAAACATCCATCAACAACAAAAACAACATCAATCCCCACTCCTTTCCCTTCCCTTCTTTAAAAACAAAAAATAGCCCTCCAAAAATATTTTCTTTAAAAATAAATTCATCAGAAACAAAAAACAAATTCAAAAATTTAAATAAATTTCCTTCAATTTTTCCAAAAAATTTTAAAAAATCAAAAATTTCTTCTTCTTGTTGGAATAATAATTACCCTACAGAAGAAGGAGGAGAAGACAAAGAAGACTATCCCTCCCATTCATTATTTAATAAATCTAATAAAATAGCCAAAATACTTGTTTGGGAATTTCAACTTTATAAATTAAATGAGAAATTGGAGGGGACAAATGATTGGGGACAACAATTAAATAAAGAAGAAAGAGCTAATGTTATTTTAATTTCTGAATTGTTTAGTTGGTTAACATTAAAAGAACATTTAAATGTTAATTTAAAAAAAGCTGTTGGATTATTAATTGCTTTGAGGGAAAGTGACAGAATTTTACAGAATGCCAATTTTCTTTGTAGTGTTTTTAATTATTTAAAAAGAATTGAGGGGGAAAAAGAAGAAGAAAAAGAATTACTTAATCGGTGGACTTTGGATGAATTAAAAATTAATTTTTGGAATGTTTTGGAAATTGAGGAGGTTTTTATTGAAATTTTGTAGAGGGAGATATTTAAATAAAATCTCTCTCTTTTAAATTTGAAATTTAATGGAAATAATGTGTAAATTGTTCTAAAATACGAGTAGAAAAGGCGATGAGTATTTGATCTAATTTTTACCTATCTCCATTACTATTTTTCCAACCCCAAATTTTTTTATTAAAAAATCTGTTCAGATTTTTTAATTTTAAAATTAAAGGAAAATGAAGACATTTTGTTAAAAACTTCCAAAGTTTTAAATTTGCTCAATTCTGGAGATGAACTTATTCAATTATTTGAAATTGCAATTTTATGTTTCTCTAATAAAGAAAATGGAAGAGAATATATAAATAAATTAATTGACCGAATAAATATTGCAAAACAATGTAAATTAAATTAATTAATTAAAAGAGAAAAAAAAATATTTATTTTTTTGTAGGGACTAAAATTGTTGGAAAATTTCTGACAAAAGTAAACAATTTTAAAGGATGGAATAATTTTGATATTCGATTGGAACAATTCAAAATAGATCCAATTATAATTGAAGGTTGTTGTGAAGAAGAAGAAGAAAATAACGAAAATAATTAAAATCTCTTTTTAATATTTATTTTATTTTGTCGGAAATAAATTAAAAATACGAAATTTTGTTGATAATTACGAATTAGGATTTCTTCCAATTAAGACGTTTTCATATTTTGATACTTGTAGTATTATTTTAATATTTATTTTTTAAAATTTCAAACTTTTAAGACTGAAATAAAACAAAACAAGTTCAAAAAATCAATTCCCTACTTCTTTTTGGTTAGTGCCGAAAGAAGCTGATTGTGTTCTGAAAATTCTTTTACAAAAATACAGAAACCCCCAAAAATGACAGAAACAATGTGGGTAATTTACTCCAAAATCATTTTAAATAAATTTAAAAAGTGCATTCTTTAATATAAAAATTTATTTCTAAATAATTCTTAATTTAAAAAATCATTGGGAAGTCTTCGAAAATCTTTCAAAATACTTATCAAAAGTGCATATAAAGTACATATAAACATTTCAATGGAAAAGTGCATCTTTATGTAATATTTTGCACTTTTTAATTATTTTAATTAATCAAGATGATGAAAAAAATATTTTTAATTAAATCATTGTCTGAATATTTAAATATATAAATAAAGTTAAAATTTAAATAAAAAATATATTTATTTAATTAATTAATTAAAATGTTTTATTCTTTAATTATTGGAGGTATTATTTTAATTTTGTTGGCTTTTTCTGATTCAACAAAAATAAATCCAACACTTTTGTGTTATCGTAATTCTCCAAGTATGTTTATTTTTTAATAAAAAAACTCGGATATTCGTCTAACAAATAATTAATTAAAACATTTCCCTCATTCAAAAATTTATTTTTTATTTCTATCAAAAGTCATTTCTTAATTAAATTCGAAAATTAATTCTCAATTAAAAATTTAAGTGATTAGCTCTTCTTTATTTTCACCAAAAAATCCAAAAATTTCTTTTAATTTGAATAAACGTTTGGAAGAATTAAATATGGCAAATAAAAATATTTACAAAAAAGGGAAAGTTTATTCTTCCAATCCTTTTTCTAAAATAATTGAAATGACAAAAGGAAAAGATGAAATTGAAACGGAAAAGTCAACACAGGTAGGAAGGAAGGGCTATTTGGTTTCCCCTGTTCTGAAATTTAATTTTAATAATTAATTAGGAGCAAAAGGATTTGGTTAATTCTTTGACAATTGAATTAGACAAAATATTATATAAAAATTTTGAAGAAGAAGAAGAGAAAAATAATATTGAGGAAGTGAAGAATGTTGAGAATAAAAATAATAATTTGGAAGAAGAATTGCCGCCTGAAGGATTTAATTTAAATGATGTGAAGGATATTAAAATGACTACTAAATTTATGAATAAATTAAATTTCAATGAACAACAAAAAAGTAACGTTAAAAAGGAGAATATTGAGGAAGTGAAGAATGTTGAAAATAAATTGGAAGCATCACTACCAAAAGGGTTAAAATTAAATGATTTGGAAAATATTAAAATGATTGCTAAATTTATGAATAAATTAACTCTTTCTGAACAGCGAAAAGTTAACTTTCCCAAAGCAATAGAACTTTTAGTTGCTTTACATGAAAGTGATAGAATTATTGAAAATAAAAATAAAATATGTGATAATAAAAATTTAATTTATTTGAAAAAAGATGGAGGGCAAATAGAGGAAATTGAGGAATATTTGCGTGATATTGTTAATATTAAAAAGGCAAAAGTTTTATAAATTTAAGGAAGGTGTTATTTTATTAGTCTTCCTCATTTCTCTCGGTAATTCAACGGTGGAGGAGGGAAATTTCCTCAGCTCCTTCTACGTCGCTTCTCAAGTACATAAATTTAAATATAACTTATCCGCTGTGAAGATCACAGCGGATTAGGTCACCATTATAAATACAAGATCAAAACATTATGAACAACAAATCTTTTATGTTTGAGTGATATTTAAACTCATTTCCAAATCTGAAATTTAAACAATTATTTTTTTAATTAGGAAGACGGCAAAGAAGAACTTTTTGTAAATGCATTAAATTCTCTAGAAATAATTGAATCGGGATATCCAACAATTAAATTCTTTGAATTTTTAATAGCAGCTCTTTCTCATCTTGTTACTGATGAAAAAATAATTGTGGAAAATATGAAGGAAACGTTGGAAGATGCTAAAAAATGTAATTATTATCTAATATTTAATAAAAACAAATCCTAAAAGATTCCAAAATATGTTGAGAGTAATAAAAAAGATTCTAAAAAATTACTGTTTTTGTAACAGAAAATTGTTGAATAAATAGAAAAAAATATTAAATATCTTTTAATTTTGTTCACACCGAAAACTCAATTATTTTACCAAAAATTTTATTTTTTTTTAATTTTCAGGGGTGGAGATTAGCATAGAATATATGAGTCAAAAGTTGAGTGAATAAATGAGATATAAGAGAATATGAGAGAAATAAAAAGAAATGTTTTTGTTCGTTAATTTGAAGTTAAATTTAAAATTAATTTTTTAACATTTATTTTAATTTATTTCACTAATTGTAAGAAAATTTAAATATTCTAAACTTCATAAAAGTATGTAATTGTCAATTGTGTTAATTATTTAATAAAAATTAAATTTTATTTTCCGTGTTTTTGTCTTCAATATATGTAGCTTTTCTAATTAATTATTTTACAAATTAAATCTTCTGTCCCAGCTTTGGAATTTACCTAAATAATTATTTTTAAATTAGGGAGACGGTTTACTAAAAGTTTATTAAAAGTTTTTTTTTATATTTTTTTTTAATTTTCAGGGGTGGAGATTAGCATAGAATATATGAGTCAAAAGTTGAGTGAATAAATTTATTCATTTTTTTTTATTTTAAAAAATATTTTTGGAAACAATTTTGTTAAAGAAAAATAAATATATCTTTAAATACTCCAAAAATTAATTCACTAAAATATTCTTTCCTTACTAATAGTTTATTTAATTATATTTTATTCATTAATTTCCTCCAAAGTACTACATAATTGTTTAAATTCGAAGAAATTCTTCAAATATTTTTAATTAATTAATTAATTTGTAATTAATTATCCAAATAATTACTAATATTTTTAATTAAAAAAATAACATTTTTGTTTCTATTTAAATGAACAAACTTTAAATTAAATTTAAAATAAAACTTTAAAATAATGCTTCCCAACTCTTTTAGTATTTTAATTATTTTAATGTTTTTATTATTTAAAAACATATTTTCAATTCCAGGTAATTTTAAAATAAATAAATAAATTTATTTTTAAATTAAAGTTTATATCGAAACACCTAATGAGGATTTGCATAGATTTGTCCGGACAGTAATTTGTTGCTATGGATGTTGCGATAAAGATCCGTGGCCTGGAAAATAATTGAAAGGGAATTTTGGATTGAAAAGAATTAATTTTAGAAATTAATTTTAATTAAAAATAAATTAAATTATTAATTTCATAATTAACGAGAATAAATAAAAAGTGCTTTTTTGGTTACTGTATAGAAGCAGAAATGACGTAAAAAAGCTTATTGTAGCACTTTTAAATATTTTTGTTTTACGTAATTTACAAAAATAAATTGTCTAAATTTTGTTTTTATCTTTACTTGTTTAATCTTTAATTAATTTTATATCTTTTTTATTAGTGATTACAGTAATTAATTGAAATGTCTGTTAAATGGGGAGGGGAGAGGGATATTTAAATGGAAGAAATAATTAAATAAATAAATTAAATAATTCCTAAATTTAATTAATTATTAATTTAAATCAAAATTTCTTTTGAATTAAATTCCTTTTAAATTACCTAAATTAATTAAATTTTTTAAACAAAAAATGTATTTGATTAAATTAATTTTTATTTTTGTTTTGTTTATCGTTTTTGTTGATTGTGGAATATTTCCAGCTTTACAAACAATAAATTATTTAGGTATTTTTATCAAATTCCCTTCCAAAAAATTTATTTTTATTTATTTTTAGGACCCCCATTAAAAACATCCATCAACAACAAAAACAACATCAATCCCCACTCCTTTCCCTTCCCTTCTTTAAAAACAAAAAATAGCCCTCCAAAAATATTTTCTTTAAAAATAAATTCATCAGAAACAAAAAACAAATTCAAAAATTTAAATAAATTTCCTTCAATTTTTCCAAAAAATTTTAAAAAATCAAAAATTTCTTCTTCTTGTTGGAATAATAATTACCCTACAGAAGAAGGAGGAGAAGACAAAGAAGACTATCCCTCCCATTCATTATTTAATAAATCTAATAAAATAGCCAAAATACTTGTTTGGGAATTTCAACTTTATAAATTAAATGAGAAATTGGAGGGGACAAATGATTGGGGACAACAATTAAATAAAGAAGAAAGAGCTAATGTTATTTTAATTTCTGAATTGTTTAGTTGGTTAACATTAAAAGAACATTTAAATGTTAATTTAAAAAAAGCTGTTGGATTATTAATTGCTTTGAGGGAAAGTGACAGAATTTTACAGAATGCCAATTTTCTTTGTAGTGTTTTTAATTATTTAAAAAGAATTGAGGGGGAAAAAGAAGAAGAAAAAGAATTACTTAATCGGTGGACTTTGGATGAATTAAAAATTAATTTTTGGAATGTTTTGGAAATTGAGGAGGTTTTTATTGAAATTTTGTAGAGGGAGATATTTAAATAAAATCTCTCTCTTTTAAATTTGAAATTTAATGGAAATAATGTGTAAATTGTTCTAAAATACGAGTAGAAAAGGCGATGAGTATTTGATCTAATTTTTACCTATCTCCATTACTATTTTTCCAACCCCAAATTTTTTTATTAAAAAATCTGTTCAGATTTTTTAATTTTAAAATTAAAGGAAAATGAAGACATTTTGTTAAAAACTTCCAAAGTTTTAAATTTGCTCAATTCTGGAGATGAACTTATTCAATTATTTGAAATTGCAATTTTATGTTTCTCTAATAAAGAAAATGGAAGAGAATATATAAATAAATTAATTGACCGAATAAATATTGCAAAACAATGTAAATTAAATTAATTAATTAAAAGAGAAAAAAAAATATTTATTTTTTTGTAGGGACTAAAATTGTTGGAAAATTTCTGACAAAAGTAAACAATTTTAAAGGATGGAATAATTTTGATATTCGATTGGAACAATTCAAAATAGATCCAATTATAATTGAAGGTTGTTGTGAAGAAGAAGAAGAAAATAACGAAAATAATTAAAATCTCTTTTTAATATTTATTTTATTTTGTCGGAAATAAATTAAAAATACGAAATTTTGTTGATAATTACGAATTAGGATTTCTTCCAATTAAGACGTTTTCATATTTTGATACTTGTAGTATTATTTTAATATTTATTTTTTAAAATTTCAAACTTTTAAGACTGAAATAAAACAAAACAAGTTCAAAAAATCAATTCCCTACTTCTTTTTGGTTAGTGCCGAAAGAAGCTGATTGTGTTCTGAAAATTCTTTTACAAAAATACAGAAACCCCCAAAAATGACAGAAACAATGTGGGTAATTTACTCCAAAATCATTTTAAATAAATTTAAAAAGTGCATTCTTTAATATAAAAATTTATTTCTAAATAATTCTTAATTTAAAAAATCATTGGGAAGTCTTCGAAAATCTTTCAAAATACTTATCAAAAGTGCATATAAAGTACATATAAACATTTCAATGGAAAAGTGCATCTTTATGTAATATTTTGCACTTTTTAATTATTTTAATTAATCAAGATGATGAAAAAAATATTTTTAATTAAATCATTGTCTGAATATTTAAATATATAAATAAAGTTAAAATTTAAATAAAAAATATATTTATTTAATTAATTAATTAAAATGTTTTATTCTTTAATTATTGGAGGTATTATTTTAATTTTGTTGGCTTTTTCTGATTCAACAAAAATAAATCCAACACTTTTGTGTTATCGTAATTCTCCAAGTATGTTTATTTTTTAATAAAAAAACTCGGATATTCGTCTAACAAATAATTAATTAAAACATTTCCCTCATTCAAAAATTTATTTTTTATTTCTATCAAAAGTCATTTCTTAATTAAATTCGAAAATTAATTCTCAATTAAAAATTTAAGTGATTAGCTCTTCTTTATTTTCACCAAAAAATCCAAAAATTTCTTTTAATTTGAATAAACGTTTGGAAGAATTAAATATGGCAAATAAAAATATTTACAAAAAAGGGAAAGTTTATTCTTCCAATCCTTTTTCTAAAATAATTGAAATGACAAAAGGAAAAGATGAAATTGAAACGGAAAAGTCAACACAGGTAGGAAGGAAGGGCTATTTGGTTTCCCCTGTTCTGAAATTTAATTTTAATAATTAATTAGGAGCAAAAGGATTTGGTTAATTCTTTGACAATTGAATTAGACAAAATATTATATAAAAATTTTGAAGAAGAAGAAGAGAAAAATAATATTGAGGAAGTGAAGAATGTTGAGAATAAAAATAATAATTTGGAAGAAGAATTGCCGCCTGAAGGATTTAATTTAAATGATGTGAAGGATATTAAAATGACTACTAAATTTATGAATAAATTAAATTTCAATGAACAACAAAAAAGTAACGTTAAAAAGGAGAATATTGAGGAAGTGAAGAATGTTGAAAATAAATTGGAAGCATCACTACCAAAAGGGTTAAAATTAAATGATTTGGAAAATATTAAAATGATTGCTAAATTTATGAATAAATTAACTCTTTCTGAACAGCGAAAAGTTAACTTTCCCAAAGCAATAGAACTTTTAGTTGCTTTACATGAAAGTGATAGAATTATTGAAAATAAAAATAAAATATGTGATAATAAAAATTTAATTTATTTGAAAAAAGATGGAGGGCAAATAGAGGAAATTGAGGAATATTTGCGTGATATTGTTAATATTAAAAAGGCAAAAGTTTTATAAATTTAAGGAAGGTGTTATTTTATTAGTCTTCCTCATTTCTCTCGGTAATTCAACGGTGGAGGAGGGAAATTTCCTCAGCTCCTTCTACGTCGCTTCTCAAGTACATAAATTTAAATATAACTTATCCGCTGTGAAGATCACAGCGGATTAGGTCACCATTATAAATACAAGATCAAAACATTAAGAACAACAAATCTTTTATGTTTGAGTGATATTTAAACTCATTTCCAAATCTGAAATTTAAACAATTATTTTTTTAATTAGGAAGACGGCAAAGAAGAACTTTTTGTAAATGCATTAAATTCTCTAGAAATAATTGAATCGGGATATCCAACAATTAAATTCTTTGAATTTTTAATAGCAGCTCTTTCTCATCTTGTTACTGATGAAAAAATAATTGTGGAAAATATGAAGGAAACGTTGGAAGATGCTAAAAAATGTAATTATTATCTAATATTTAATAAAAACAAATCCTAAAAGATTCCAAAATATGTTGAGAGTAATAAAAAAGATTCTAAAAAATTACTGTTTTTGTAACAGAAAATTGTTGAATAAATAGAAAAAAATATTAAATATCTTTTAATTTTGTTCACACCGAAAACTCAATTATTTTACCAAAAATTTTATTTTTTTTTAATTTTCAGGGGTGGAGATTAGCATAGAATATATGAGTCAAAAGTTGAGTGAATAAATGAGATATAAGAGAATATGAGAGAAATAAAAAGAAATGTTTTTGTTCGTTAATTTGAAGTTAAATTTAAAATTAATTTTTTAACATTTATTTTAATTTATTTCACTAATTGTAAGAAAATTTAAATATTCTAAACTTCATAAAAGTATGTAATTGTCAATTGTGTTAATTATTTAATAAAAATTAAATTTTATTTTCCGTGTTTTTGTCTTCAATATATGTAGCTTTTCTAATTAATTATTTTACAAATTAAATCTTCTGTCCCAGCTTTGGAATTTACCTAAATAATTATTTTTAAATTAGGGAGACGGTTTACTAAAAGTTTATTAAAAGTTTTTTTTTATAAACAAATTGTGTAAAAGTATTTATGACTGTTTTTATTAGTAAGGTTTAAATTTGGGTATTTTTTTCAAAATCATTGAGGAGATTACGTTTAAAAATTGCTATAAAAGGAAATAAAAAACACGAGAAAATAGAATAAAATACCCCCAATTTTTACTTAGTAAGCAATTTAACGAAGAATTTTAAATTGTTTTCTATTCAAAAATAAATGTGCATCTTCCATAAAAGTATTACTTTTTTTCATAATAAAAATCAAAAAATGAGTAATCCATTGAAAAAAATTTTTAAAGATTTTTGTAAACAAATTTGGATTACAAATTTAGTATAAAAAGAGGAAATTCTCTCAATTTCTAAAAATCACCAATTTCTTTTTACATTAAATTGAGTTAAATACAATTTTTAATCTAAAAATGATTTTATTTCTTTTTTTAATATTAGCATCAATTTCGATTGAAGCAATAAATGAAGAAGAGCATAATCGTGTAAAACGTTTTGAATGGCCCTGGGAAACAATTGGAAAAGAATTGTGTAAAACAGCGGCAAAATGTAGTTGTGGGAGGGCAAAATGTGTGTCATCTCCAGGATATAAAGCTAGCAATTGTTGTGGTGAAAATTATGTATGGTCCTGTTGTGGAAAGCCTGTTAATTGAAATGAGGAAGAATGAAGGGAAAAATTATTTGTAAAGGAAAATCCGCTATCGATATTTTTGTTAAATTTAACAAAAACGTTTTACTTTAATATATCGTTTAATATTTGCCATTTATAAATAAAAATACATAAATTGAATTTAAAATATTATTTAAAACAATAAGTACAGCTGATTAGCCCCTTATATCCTTTTGACCGTGTTATTCTTTGTGACCATTTTGAGTTTTTGTCACTTATGACCGAAGCGTGAGTAGATTAATAGAGTTTTTACAATTTGATTTCCTATTATAAATGACATAATATCTAAAAAAATTTTTGTCACGCTTTTCGTTTTTTGGTTTGTGGATCTTAGTGTTAAATAAGTCCACCCTTAAATAAGTCCACCTATTGTTTGATAAGAACATTTATTGTTAAATAAGGTAAATTATTAATTTCAATTTAATAATATATTTTTATAATTTATAAGGAATGAGTTCAGAAATACAAGATGGGCAACAATCATTAGTTGAAAGGGTCCAAGAAGCATACGATTCAATGGGGAGAGGTGCAAATTTCAATCGGATAATGAAAGGGGTTTTTCTTTTAAAATATTTTATTTTAAAAAATTTAAAGATTCGTAGTTTGTCGGCAAATAATGAAGGGAAATTAACTGCTGAATTTACTGTTTTAGAAGAACATGTTAATGATAAAGGAACAATTTATGGGGGATTGTTGGCTGCTTTAGTGGATGTTTTGACGGCAACTTGTGTTAAACTTGTACTTCCTGAAAGTCGAATTGTTTCTATTGAATTGGCTGTTAGGTTTGTTTAGTTTTAAGAGCAGGACCTTACACTTAACATTTTTGAACTAAAATTTTTGGGCATTGTCTTTTCTGCTTTTGCTAATTTTTAATTCTAGTTATTTATCTGCAGCAAAAATCGGAGAAAATGTTTTTATCGAAGCTAATTGTGTAAAAGCTGGAAAATCAATAGCATTTACAAATGCTTGTTTTTATCGCCGTTCAGACAATTTAATATTAATTACAGCAAAACAACAATTAGCTATTTTATCAGACAAAACAAGACAAGAAAAACCAAAAATTAATGGAATTATTGAAGAAAAGAAAAAAGATTTAAAAATTATTTGGCCTTCTCTAGCTATTGATGGTGGTGGAATTTATTTGGAAAAAATGAAGGGAATATTTGCTAGTATGAGTGGAAAAAATAATTTTTACAAAAATTTGAAAAATGTAAAATTTTAAAAAATTTGGTGACGTTTTCCCCTTTAAGAATATATGTATAAGAAAACTTTTAGGCTTTTATATGTTCTTAACCCTCTTTTTAAAGTAATCTATGAAAATTAAATAAAGAAATTTTACGAAATACAAAAAGTAATAAAATATATTAGGATGTCGATATATAGAATAGAGCTCCTTAATTTACTCTTCCTCCGTAATTTATTAGCAAATTTTGTCACCAAAATATATTTGTTTAAAATTTAGATTAATGTTTTGTGTGCAGAACCTCCTTTTCTTGTAATTTCAATTATTCTTGGTGAGGAACATTTAAATAATGGAGGTAAATATATTTTTGAAAATATTTAAATAATTTAAATTTAAAGGTACATTGCATGGGGGGTTTACTGCATCAATTGCTGATTTAGGTTTTTCTTTCTCTAATTAAAAAAATTATTTAAATTTTAGTAACATCTAGAGCCGTTCAAATGACTGAATCTTGTCCTCGTGTTTCTGTTGACCTTTCTGTTAGGTTAAAATTGAAAATAATTTCTTTTTCCAAAATTCTAATTTTTAGTTATCTTTTGCCAGCAAAAATTGGTGAAGAAATTTTGGTGGAAGGAAAATGTTTAAAAATTGGGTGGATGATGGCTTTTACTGAGGCTACTTTTATTAAAAAATGTGATGGATCTATTGTAGCAAAAGGTCGACATAATTTATATTTTCTTAGAAATTTACAAAATAAACAAGAAAATAATTTGAATGAAAAATAAAATTAAAGAAGAAATTTTATAATACTCAAAGACATAATAGGTGAATATACTATATTAATAGTAAGTATTGTTTAAGACTAAAAAAATTCCTATTAGACTTTTAAAATTGTGTAGTTATTGTTTTGTGATTTATATTTAGTATTTATTAGAAATTAAAAGAATTTAGTATTAAAAAATAATTATTTGAAAAAAGCTTTTTTCTTACAATCTTCAATTTTGTGTTGTGAATAGCTTCTAATGAAGATAATATTAATGTTTTTAAATAATAAAAAGTTTTTGAATTTTTCATTGTTTGTTTAATTACTTGGCTATTTTCGTGTTATTTTAGACTGGTAGAAAAAAATTAGCAAAAAAACTTTAAACTATGAGTGATTAATAGGGATCGGATATTTAGGTTGTAAAAACCTAAAAAAATAGGTAACTAAATCTTCATTTTTTAAAATTATCACATGAAAATAATAATCAAGAAAAATTTTTTGAATTTTTGCAAAATATTTTTTTTAATTGTAAAATTTTTGCAGAGTGATAGGAAAATTGACAAAATTTCTGAAAAATTATTTAAGTTTTTCAAGTTTTTGAGAAAAAAAATGTATTTTTATAAAAATATCCAAAATGGTGATAAAAATATAAAAAACAATTAAAATAGGTGACAATAACTTCACATCAAATTTCATCAGAAAAATAAAAATGAGAAGAAAGAAAAAACCCCAATAAAAAAAACTCCAATCCCTAATGATTAATATTGGAGTTTTCTTTTTTTCTTTCTAAGACGAAACCATCATTTTTGAATAATACATATGTCTGACGATTCAATTAAATTTGACCTCTTAACTTAAAAAAGGAGTGCCAAAAAAGGAAGATATGTATGTAAATTAATCAAATCATTCCCTCATTTCCAAAATCATTCACCAAACTTGACAATAATTAATATATAAATATTTTTACAAATATAATAAAATAACTAAAGTCCGTTCCAAGATAACTCGACACCTCTTTTGTCTGAAAAAAAATGTCTGAAAAAAATCTGAAAAAAACACCCCATTTTTTGGAAATTTTTCATAATTTTTGATAAAATTATTGATTTACTAAAATTTTTTTGCAAAACAAGGTAGTTTTTTCTCCTAAATAAATATCTTAAAAAATTAAAACGACTTGTCTGAAAAATTAGAGGTGCCAAGGTATTTTGGAGCGGATTTCATATAAAACTAATCGTTAAATACTTAAAAATATAATAAATTTTTCTGACTTTTTTTAATTAGATAATACATATACATAAATATTTTAATTTCCTTATTATTAATTTTAACAATATGGAAAGAAACATTGAAGGTAAATATGTATAATTTGAAATTTTCTTCGGATCGGGTTTCTGAAAAATGTTGCGGATTTTGGAAGGATAGGAAGCCAGATTTCTCTTTTATGGAATAAAATTCCATGAAAAATGACGGGTTTCGGGTTGGGTTTCGGAAATTTTATTGGGTCCGGTTCGAGTCGAAAAGTCTGGGTTTCGGGCAACTCGTGACATTCCTGATACATATGTATGCATTATAGTAGGTTTGTTTCTAATAGCCTCTTTGGGTGAGCTCACATATTTTGTGCCGAAACTGATTTTAAAAAGCGAAAGGCGAAATAAAAAAGCTTTAATTTTTGTTTAAATAAAATTTATTCAGTTCTTGATTTTGAAATGGTTAACTTATCAGGCGTTTTAATTGGCATACAAAGAGAAATAGAGGATGTTAAAAATCTTGTTACACTCGTTATTGTTGTTATTGCTGGGCTTGCTTTGTTGTTTGGTTCTGCACTTTTAATTATTTATTTTCAATCAATTATAAATTTTGTAATTGCAATGTATCTATGGTTGAATCTTATTGGTTTATGTGTGGTTTTTGTTGGAATAATTGGTTTTATCGGAATGGTTTTAATCAAAATTGTTAAAGGAATTGTTAGAGCTGTTAAAAACTTGTTTCATAAATTAATTGAATTATTAAGAGGCAGCGGTTAAAATGTGTAGTTAAAAAATTTTGAAGACAAGAAAATAAAAAGTTGAGGTTACAAAAGTTTTTCAGTAATATTTTGTTATTTTTATTTTTTATTCTACACGTTGGTTAAATCGTTGCACTAATTATCTATTCATTTTAAGCAAAAATTCTTTATCTGTAAAAATTGTTGAGAATTTTTAAATAAATTTTGTGACTTTTCGAAGGTTTTATTTTTATATTAGATTGTGTGTATTTAATAGAAATTAAAGTCAATTTTTTTTTCGCTGACTACCAAATTTTTTTTAAAATTTTTGATGGTAATTACATCAAAAATATAAATAAAATGGAAATATTGTTTGAATTATGCAAACACTTTATTTTTAAAAAAATTAATTTATTAAATTAATTCTATACAAATTTAATTAAATTTAACAAATAAAATTTATAAAAAATTTAAATCACAAAAATAATTAAACAGAAATCCCTGATGAGCCACTACTTGAACGGTCAATACATTTTTGTTGGTTGTGAGATACTGTGCAATTTACTTTAGATTTTGATTTAATATTTGAAGAAATTAAAGGATTTTGTTGGGGCTGTTGTTGGGCATTGTTAATTGTTTTGTTTGAATTTTTTATCTGAATTTAATGATTAAACATATGTAAATTATATTATAAAATACAAATTAATTAGCTTTTAATCGACACCTTTATTCTTTGAGTAAAATCTTCTCCTCCTTCCTCCAAAATTGTTTCCTTCCTAAAATCCTCAACTTTTAAATTTTCTTCATTTAAATTATCTCTTTCTTCATTTCCAATTATTTCCCTTCTATTGCAATATTCATTTGAACTTGCACCCATTATAAAAGGTGTTGTTGAGGGTACTGCAGATAATGATTGCGAACGCGTGCATTTTTGTAAAACAAATCCTTAAAGGTATTTAAAAATGGAATTAAATATTAACTAATATATTTTATGATATATTTTTAGTTTTTGTTTATGATAAATTTTTAAAATAATTTTGCTAATTTTCATGAAAATTTAAAAATATTTTTTGTTAATATTTCAAGTTTGTTATTGTGTATTGTTAAATTTAAGCTAATTTTTAAATAAAGACATAAATACTTTGGATACGCTAAAACTATCAAAAATTACTCCCTCCTTCTACTTTCCTCCTCTCTAATTTACAAAATCAAATAATTTTATAATTCCCCAACCATTTTGCCCATTTTTTGATCCATTTGAAATTCTTGATTTATTTGTGTAGTCAAGTGTATGATGTCTCATAATTGCAGAATGACCACATAAAGAAGAATGGGATTTTTGTGGAGAGGTTGTTGGCCCAAAATGACGAGAAAATGTGCAACGAAAAGGACGAGAAAAGTTATAACTTTGAAAGAAAAATATTTTTAATAAATTTAATTATTTACTATATAACAAAGTTGAAACTTGAATTGAAAACTACAAGTCTAAAATTAAAAAAAACCCGAATTAATTTTAAAAATATTTATTTTACAAATTAGATATATCAATTATATAATTAATTCTCCAAGACATTGAAGACGCTAGATGCTGAAAATTAAAAATAAATTTATATTTAGTATTTAAATATTTATAGGTGGTATACATAGGTATGTTCTTCACATTCCAGATATTTATTAGGTTGTTTTTATCCGCAGATTTATCTTTTTTTCAAATATCAAATCTATTTATTTTTATCCTATTAGGAAAGGGTCAGACAAACAAAATTAATAGTTAGTCCTATCATTTATTTATGTATTAATTTATCCCTTTTAATTATTTTTATTTATTTAAGAATTTAAAATTAACTGTTTCAAAAATATTAATTAGCAAAGCAACAGTATTACATAAAATAAAAAGCAAAACAACAAGTATCTGAAATATTTTCTTTTAATTATTTATTAAGAATTTAATTACTAACTAAAGCCAAATTATCAGCAGAATTTCCCTTTTTACAAAAAACAGTAGCAATAATAACAATAATATTCAAAACAATTAAAACAATTAATGGGCCAACAGCCAAAAAGATTGCGTACATATATTTGTAATAAATGAGCATATAACTTGAAAAAATAAAAAATGCATGAATTATTAGATTTTTTTTCCATTTTACTAATATTTTTAAACTTTATGAGAAACTCTTGGCTTTCGAGAAATTTTTTTCGATTTTATTTTCTAGATAATTTTTGTTTATTGCAAATTTTATTGTAAATCAAAATTGTATTAAACGAATAATTTTTATTATTAGAGCATTTAAATGTCTTTGTATAGTCATTGGGAATTTTTAATTTAAGTTTTCTTTTTCAAAAATAAATTTAAATAAAATTTTTATTTACGTGGGATGGAATCGTAAAGGTGCTGGGCATACTTCAACAGATTGACTTTGAAAATTTGGATGCCAACAATCCAAAAGTATCGATTCAAAACAATGTCTATTAATAATTTTTAATTAAAAAAATAATTTTAACAAAATTTACGGGATATTATAAATAAAGGCAAATGCAAGAATTCCACTAGCCAAACATTTTGTAAATAATTGACTTGAAAATAATCTTTTTATTTTTGATGGCATACAGACCTTTAATTAAAAAATATTAAGAAATGTTCAAAAATTGATTGGGATGGGGTAATTGAGAGGGCTAAGAAGGTTTATTTAAGAGGCTTGGTAAGAATTCAAAATATTTGCAAGTTATGAGGGAAATTCTACAAAAATATTTGGATTAAAGGTAGAGAGAGGGTTGAGTGTTGGACTATTATCAGTGATTCATTCATGATTGTACATATATCCTTACCAACATCAATTAAAAATTAATTTACTTGAACAAAACAATCAACAGCGGCAACAATTGTAAAATAAACAGAACAAGTTTGTGCAATCATCCCAGCTGGATATACAACAGGGGAAAGAGTTCCATACAAAATTGAGAGATTTAATGAATACCGTCTAATTGAGTCAATAAAGAAAAGAAAAAGAGCAGTCAATATCACCTTTATGTTTTAA